AAAGTAGACTTCAAACCTACATTGATCAAATGAGATAAAGAAGGACATTCCATACTAATAAAAGGGGAAATAGACCAAAAGGAAATAACAATTATCAACCTATATGCACCCAATGTCAACACACCCAATTTCATCAAACATACCCTGAAGGACTAAAAGCATATATTAACTCCAACACAGTGGTTGTGGGAGACTTTAACACCCCATTATCATCAATAGATAGGTCATCCAAACAAAAAATCAATAAAGAAATCCTAAGATCTAAAATATACAATAGATCAAATGGACCTACTTGATGTCTACAGAACATTTCATCCAACTTCTACACAATATACATTCTTCTCAGCAGCCCATGGAACCTTCTCCAAAATAGATCATATCCTAGGGCACAAAGCAAGCCTCAGCAAATATAAGAAAATAGAAATTATACCATGCATTCTATCTGATCACAATGCAATAAAACTAGGACTCAACAACAAAAGTAAAGACAAAACACATGCAAACAGCTGGAAACTGAATAACTCATTGCTTAATGAACAATGGGTCATTGATGAAATAAAAGAGGAAATTAAAAAGTTCCTGGAAGTCAATGAAAATGAAAACACAACCTACCAGAACCTATGGGACACAGCAAAGACAGTCCTGAGAGGAAAGTTTATAGCCATGAATACGTATATTAAAAAGACTGAAAGATCCCAAATCAATGACCTAATGATACATCTCAAACTTTAGAAAAACAAGAACAAGCAAATCCCAAAACAAATAGAAGGAGAGAAATAAATAAAAATAAGAGCTGAAATCAACGAAATAGAAACCAAAAAAACCATACAAAGAATTAATGAAACAAAAAGTTGGTTCTTTGAAAAAATAAACAAGATCGACAGACCCCTGGCAAACCTGACTACAATGAGGAGAGAAAATACCCAAATTAGTAGAATTAGGAATGCAAAAGAGGAGATAGCAATAAATACCATTGTAGTCCAGGAAATCATCAGAGACTACTTTGAGAACCTATATTCAAATAAATTCAAAAATCTTAAAGAAATGGGCAGATTTCTAGATACATATGATCATCCAAAACTGAACCAAGAGGATATTAATCACCTGAATAGATCTATAACACAAAATGAAATTGAAGCAGCAATCAAGAGTCTCCCCAAAAAGAAAAGTCCAGGACCTGAGGGATTCTCTGCTGAATTCTATCAGACCTTTAAAGAAGAACAGACACCAACCCTCCTTAAAGTGTTCCATGAAATAGAAAGGGAAGAAAAACTGCCTAACACATTTTATGAAGCCAGTATTATACTTATCCCAAAACCAGGCAAAGATACCTCCAAAAAGGAGAATTATAGGCCAATCTCCTTAATGAACATTGATGCAAAAATCCTCAGTAAAATAATGGCAAACCAAATTCAACAACACATCAAAAAGATTATTCACCACGACCAAGTAGGCTTCATCCCAGGAATACAGGGGTGGTTCAACATATGAAAATCAATAAATGTAATAAACCACATTAACAGAAGCAAAGACAAAAACCACTTGATCATCTCAATAGATGCAGAAAGAGCCTTTGATAAGACCCAACACTATTTCATGATAAAAGCTCTAAGAAAACTAGGAATGAAGGAAAGTACCTCAATATTATAAAAGCTATATATGACAAACCTACAGCCAGCATTATACTTAACAGAGAAAAACTGAAACCATTCCCTCTAAAATCAAGAACGAGACAAGGATGCCCACTATCTCCACTCCTATTCAACATAGTACTGGAATTCCTAGCCAGAGCAATTAGACAAGAAGAAGGAATAAAAGGAATACAAATATGTAAAGAAACTGTCAAAATATCCCTATTTGTAGACGACATGATCCTATACCTTAAAGACCCAATAAACTCTACTCAAAAGTTCCTAGACACCATCAATAGCTATAGCAAGGTAGCAGGATATAAAACCAACATAGGAAAATCATTAGCATTTCTATACACTAATAAGGAACAAACTGAGAAAGAATATATGAAAACAAGTCCATTTACAATAGCCTTAAAAAAATCAAATACCTAGGTGTAAACCTAACAAAGGATGTGAAAAACCTCTATAAGGAAAACTATAGACTATAAAATAGTTTTATAGTTTATAGAAACTATAAAATAGTTTCTGCCGGGTATCGAGGGGGTGGGAGGGAGAAGGATGGGGTGGGGGGGGATAAGGGAAGGGTGGGGGAAGGGGGGAGAAATAACCCAAATATTGTATGCACATATGAATAAAAAAAATAAAAAAAAGATAGGAACTATCAAAGTTACCTTAAAAATAAATAAATAAATAAATAAATTCCAGATAAACAACTCTTCAGGAGGTGATGAATCTGAATTAGCGTAAGAAACTGGGAGGCTCTGAGAAAATGTCTTCAAAGAGAAAAGGAGAATATATTCTAAATTAGATAGGAGTAAAAAAAAAAGAAGGAATTAGAAACCAGAGGGACAGAAACCCAAAAAGCTGTACAAGAGTCAAGTCAACTATGAAGTAAACTAAAATGAAGTGCTGTTATGAGTAACCAATGGGCTATGAAGGAAGAGAATCTACTTGGTGCAGACCTTAGGAACATTCTTTGAATGACTAAGAGAACAGTGGGTCAACTGAGGATACGATGCAACCCTAGAGTACTTGACCCTTCATAGTGAATATATATTTATGCAGAGGAAACAGAAGACTTAACTTTGGCTATCAATATATTATCTTGTGAAAGTGGAACAAGTCATAGAAGATAGGGAGAAAAGGGTTGTGGTATGGTGGTGGGAAGTTTAGTGGTATCAATATCCTTACATGTCAAGAAGTATTATAAAGTTTAGGGAACAAAAACCTCAGGTTTAAATATATTATTTAAGGTTATAAATAAAACTAATAAAATAAGATATATAATGAAAATGTTTCCATTGCTAGGGGTGAGGTGGGAGGATAGGGTTGCCTGTAAAAGGGCACGAGGGAACTTGATGGAGCAAAGGAGATTTTCTATATCTTGTTTTGGCTGCTGATGGTTATGTGAATATTCTGCTTTATTTAAATTCACAGAACTGTATTCCAAAAAAGGGTGATTTTTTTACTGCATGTAAATTATATCTCAATAAACTCAGGAATAGGAAAAGCAGATATAAGGGAACTAAATCTTCATCTTTCATATTGGGAATGAAAAAGAAATGTTTGAAATTAATAAATCAACAAATAGAACATAACATAGAGTAAGCAAGGGAACTTTCCAACACAAGAAAGAATTAAAAGTGCTTCTTGTTGGAAGTAGTACTAGAAAAACAGACTACTACTTAGCTTTACAATTTTGCTATTTTAGTATTTACTTATTTATTGGCATTGACATTTTAAAAAATTTGGAAGAATTTTTAAAATACAGACATTTTCAGAGGTACACAGAACTTCCTTATATCCCTTGTCCAATAATGTCCTGTGAGGCAACAGATCCAATCCAGGACCACACGTTGTGCCCTGTTATCACTCTCCTGGGCCTCCTTCAGCCTGGAACAATTCTTCATCCTTTCTTGACTTTCGTGACTTTGATATTTGTGAAGATTACAGGCTGGACGTTTCATTTTGTTCTTCTATTTAGTTTGCCTGATATTTTCTCTTGGGTTGACCCAGGGTAGGTAGTTTGTTCCTAACAGCATAGATGAGATGCTTTGTTCTCACTGAAGCCTAGTGGGGTAGTCTGAGAGGTTGATCTGTTCTATCACTGCTTGTATTGACCAAGATAATATCTACCTGGATTATTTACTGTAAAGTATGTTTTCTTCACTTAACAAATGACAAAAATAGGGAAGATATTTTGAGAATATATAAAACCCTTTCCATACCCTCTTCACCCACCTTTACTTTAAGATCCACTGATACTTTTTTACCTGAATTGGTTATTACTGTGATGATTGCCAAATGCTACATTTTAATTGCGTGGATTTAGAGATTTCTGTTTATTCTATAAACTGTAATCTATTAGTAGCATTATTTGATTCTCAACTTGCTAGTCAGGGGAGTCGCTTCATTGGCCTCTGTGTCATTGTGACATGTTTCCATCATTCTTTGAGCACTTCTTTCAGTTGGCACCAGAGGATGTTCTAGGCTCTCCCTGTTCTCTCCTTGCCTCAGTCCTGGAATCAACCAGCTCCTTTCAGTGGAGATGGTACTTTGAAACCAAGCTTTGGGTGGCTGGTGTGCACATTGCTAATAGAGTCTTAAAGCTTTCAGAACCTCTCAATGACCGTAGCTAGGAGACACATGTGTGTATGTACATTTGCATACATACACTTGCATATACATTTATTTATATATCTGTTTAAACATATCAATAACCATGAGATGATACTGATAACTCAATCTCATTCCAATATCAAAAGATTTATCTTAGCTTTCCTCCTTCCTATATTTGCATCTCCCTCCTCCAAGAGTGAAAATACCAGCTCCCACCATCCTCAATATAATAAGTTTTTTGCTTAATTCTTCCAATTTCATGGTGCCATCAGGTTGCCAGTGTACTTATATATTCTCTCTGTGGCTTCTAGCCCCTGCCATGCTGCCTTCTCACTCAACTTGGCATGCATTATTTTGATAAAAACTTAAAAAGAAAAAAATAGTATCCAGGTGCGATAAAAGGAGCAAAAACAACAACAACAACAACAACAAAAACACTGTGAGAATTTGTCACAAGTAACAATCTTACTGCTCTAAATATCAAGGGGAAACACAGATTTGTGACTTTCCTATTCCCCTCTCCCACTATCACAATTGCAAGGCACTTTAAAGTTTTATCTGTTCTAGAAAGAAGTGAGCATATAGCTTGACTGCAACATTCTTCCATTGATATTGTGCAGTGCCCAATCCTGAATGCATGCAAATGTGTGTGCACATGCAGACATGTGTGTTCACACACACACACACACTCAGATACATATTTTCTGCTCTGATAACCTGACTTTGCCACACAGAGGAAGTCTCTACCTGAAATGTCACAGAAAACAGTCTGTTGGTAGGTCTTGGCCTCTAGGGGGTTGAAGTACACAATGATTTCAGCTGAGGTGTTGGGCCACACATCACCTTCCTGAAAAACATGAATTAATCATTAAAAAACAAGGTGATGAAAGGAAGACACTGCTTTTAAATTATGGCATAATTCCATGATTTTTAAAATAAAATTATCAATATTCAAGGGGAAGGACATGATGTTTTGATACACATGTGGATAGTGAAATGATTACTATAGTCAAGCAAATTAGCATATTCATCTCCTTGCATAGTTACCTTTGTGTGTGTGGTGAAAGTATTTCATCTACTCTCTTACCAAATTTCCAACAGATAATGCGTATTAATAAATAGCCACTATACTATACATCAGGACTTTATAACTTATTAATCTCATACTTGTAGGCTTGCACCCTTGAACAGTTTCTTCCCATTTCCCATACTCCTGACCTCTGGTAACCACCATTCTACTCTCTGCTTCTATTTTTTTATATTCCACACATAAGTGAGATCATACAGTGTGATATTTATCTTTCTGTGTCAAACTTAATTCACTTATGTCCTCCAGGTTCATCCATGAAGTTGCAAATGTCAGGATCTGCTTTTTTAAAGGCTAAAGAATATTCCATTGTGCATACATATCACAATTTTTTATTCACTCATCTGTGCATGGGTACTTAGGTTGTTTCCATAACCTGACTGTTTGAATGATACTACAATAAACATGGGAAGCACATAGCTCTTTGAGGTACTGGTTTTATTTCTTTTGGGTCTATACCCAGAAAAAAAATTACTGGATCATACAATCGTCCTGTTTTTAATTTTTTGAGGACCTCCATCCTGTTTTCTATAATGGCTGTATCAAATTTATATTCCCACTAAGAGCATACAAGAGTTTGAGTCCAGGAAATTTGAAGGAAACATTTTTACAACAAATACAAGAAAGCACTATTTTACTCAGAAGATAATGGACTTATACTGTGTGTTAACTTATATGGTGGTGTAAGCTTCAAAGATTATTTCAGTTAATTTAGGAATATTTAATGAGTTACAAATAGAACTAGGATGACTAGGGCATTTCAGAGTGTCTGTATTCAGTGAACATTCGTTGTCTGCTCCTGCCTAACCCCAGGGCTTCAGAGAAGCAGAACATGGGCAGGGACTGCAGGGCGCTCATGCTGGAGTGAGATGATAAACATGAATGCAAACATATATGACAAGTGCTGTGCCTGAAAAAATAAAGCCCACAGGGGCCATGGAGAAAGAAGGATCTGACTTCCTTGCTGGAGGCATCACCTTCCTAACTTTAAGGTGAAAGCAAAAGGAAAGAAACACCTTCATTCTATGAAAACAGGAGTGGCCTCCGGCAGAACAATGGCCAGCTTACAATGCTTCTGTTCCATTGCAATAGTTCTCGCTTTAATTCACATCACTCAAAAGTCACAGTGAGGAAACCAAGTTTTGAACCCATAGTGCAACATATCACATACCAGAATATCCCTGTTACACATAATTTGCTTAAAAATTTTTGTACTAATCATATAACTTGGGGCCACTTTACTAACTTCTAAAGAAAAAGGGGTTGCTAAGAGTACCTGCCTCCAAGGGTTTCCTAAGGCCTGACAAAGCAGGCAGCCACCTGCTTTGAGCACACAGTTAAGAGCTTCCTAAATATTTACTTACTATGATTTGTTTCTTTTATGACACTTAGAAGTACTGAGATGAAAGCATTGAAAAAGGGGAGAACATGTGTGTGCTTTTCTGTTTTTTTTTTTTTGGTAAATATAGCCAAATGAGTTTAAGTGCTAAACACATCCAAAAACTGTTCTATTGAACAATCTCAGCAGTTCAATAGAAAACCAAGGCAAGACAAGCAGATAAAGAATTAGGCTCCAGTTGCAGATAGTCCCCAATGCATACTTGATGGAGTCTGGCTAGAAATGACATACTTCTGGAATAAACAATTGAGAAGAGAATGAAATGGTTTAAAAGGCAGACATCAAACAAGAGTGGAAAACAGAAAATTAGAGCCAAGTTGGGTTTACTGATGAGAGCAATCATTCTGATCAGTGTATTTCTCAGGCAGCATCCTTCCTTTTTCAGAATGAGGCTCCAAGAAGTAGGAGTGGGGATCGTGAAGGACATATGGGTTCTGGGGGCTCTCACATCCCCTGATCAGCCTGAGAGAATAAAGGCTCTATGAGGGCAGGCATTCGTATCTCCAGCACCTAACCCAGAAGGGGCTCTTAGTGGGTGCTTATTAAATATCTGCTGAATTAGCTCTATCTACTCAGTTTGTACCCTATGTAGTTATTATTAGACACCTATTCATTTTTTCCAACCTCTTTCTGTCATTTTTCCATCTGGAACCCTCAAGGTCACACAGTTTTAGAAATGAAAGAGAGCTTTGAGATTATGGAGAGAATAGAGAAGCATTTTCATATACTTAGGCTTTTCTAAACCTTGAAACAAGTACCTGTTCCCTTCAGATAAATGGCAAATACCTGAACTCTTTTGACTGGTGCCGTTTTAGTGATATGGAGAGGCCAAACAGATGACTGGCTCATCCATCCACAGCAGTAGTCAACCAGTGGCATATCAGTGAGTATTCCATCTCAAAACTACTGAAGATCTGGGCTTTTTCCTAAACCATGACACAATGTACACCTGGAGTGTTCAGACTTTTCTCTGTTTAGGTGTATAGACTGGATGCAGCTAACCTGCTCTTCCACAAACTGATTAATCAAGAGGATTCCCGGAGAAACCCATGCTACAAAAGTCTCACCAGAATAGCAGGAAGTGGCACCCAAAAGGACACACTGGAAATCAGACTGGCTCAGTACTTATAAGCAAGTCAAGGGTCTTAAGGTTTAAGGTGGCCAGACCATTTTCAAGGCACTATTTGAGCAAGAGAGTCCAGGGTCTATGCACAAGGATGCAATACATGGGAGTTCTATTCCAGAAAGCACTCTTGGACATGACATTATCAAAGGAGTCTACTTAGCAGAACTAGCAGACTGGGAAATAAGACACACTTTAGAAAGGCAACCTGACTCCCCAGAGAAGGAAGCACAGATGTTCACATGGGATGGACCAGAGAATCCTCTGATTCAGAGGTTCGTGGTGGGGGGTGTGGTGGTGAGAAGCCCTGCTTATCGAGGGAAGACCAACACAATGAAATCCAAGTCCACAGGACTCAGACTGAATGAGTGTGACTGTGAGCTCAGGGCTTTCTTATTCAGAGCTGCAGCTGTTTTATTGAGTTTGTAACATCCACTAGTAACTTGTAGTTTTTTTCTGAGCCTGGGAGATAATTCATGGACAAATATTATTCTAAAGCCCTTTCCTAGGCTGGAGCAGGTAATGTGTATTAAGAGGGCTGTGTGTATCTGTAAAAACAGAAGCATGGCCATTCAGTATCCTGTCCCAGAGTGTGAGGTCATTTGAAGAAGTAAGGAACATGCAGAAGGACATATCTGCATTTCAGTTGTGATTCAAATAAAAGTTAAACTTCTACTTCTTTACAGCAAAAACTCAACTTAAAAAAACCTCATAGCATTTTCTAGCCAGTGAGAGAAAAACAAACCCTAGAAGCAGGCAATAACCCTAAAATGCCTCCACTATTACTTCTGTGTCTTTGGAACATTTTATATTACTTCTCCAACTCTGCTGAAATTAACTTCGATGTCATTTATGTTTCTGAAAAGAATTTTTCTTTCTTTATTGCTCAGTTCTAAAGTTTCTGAAAATCAAAACATTCAGAAAATTCCCTACTGGCTCCAACATCAATATCCCTACTTCCCAGTCCTCCAACATCTGCCTCATCACTCAGAACACCTGCTGTTCTGTTTTCCTTCTATATATGACCTCTTCTCCCTTCACTGCCCATTTTTCTGCTCCAAATGAGAATCTATATGGAGAGGATTTAATCTGTCATTATCACCTTGATGTCAAAAATAATTGTCAAAGTGACCTTCAGTTAAGTTGTAATTATCGGACTTCTTAGCCTTAGTCCTTTGTTTTTCTTTCAGATATGTAATGAGTAAAGTAATTGTGCTTCACTTATCAACCAAGTGACCTACTAGAAGGAATCTACTTTTGAATTTTTAGGACTAAAATTAGTTCCCATATTATTATTCCCAAATATTAAATATCTTTGGACTTGGAACTTCATGTTTTCTTCCAAAAGTGAGCAAACAACCAACCAAGTGATTTGATAGTCATTGTCGAGATTTCTGAAAACTTTCTATGAACATACAACCACTGGTTCATGAAAGGTGATAAATACAATCATGACAAAACTATCCTTTAAAAGGGCTCTCTCTCTCTCTCTCTCTCTCTCTCTCTCTCTCTATATATATATATATATATACACACAATGATTGAAGGGACTTAAAAAAAACTCCCTCGAAAATTCTTAAACAAAAAGAAACCCTTTAAAAAAATCACCTTCCTTCCCTCTTTCTATTACTCATATCACTCCCTCCGTCCTTTCCTCCTTTCCCTCCTTCCTTCCTTCCCTTGTTCCCTCCCTCCTTTACCTCTTTCTTTTTTCCTTCTCTCCTCCCTCCTTTCCCTTCCTTCTTTTCTTTCTTCCTTCCTTGGAGGATTATTTCCTGAAAATCTTGCCAAATCAACACTCAAAGTGCAAGAACAGAGTTACATATGTATTTCATTTGTTTGGATTTATCTGGACAGAAATATGACTTAAAGTTTACAGTTTGACTCAATTTCTACATTTATTAAATAAGATAGTTGCATTTTAATTCCCAACTTACATTTATAAGAAGGATCCAAATATTTTCTCATTCAAATGTTATAATCTCCAATCATACTCTTAAATCTGACAAGACTAGAGTGTTGCCTAGCTCCAAATCATAAGTTTGCAAGCATTTATTGATAGCTTATGTTTATTACTATGGTGTTAAATGCTTATATATGTTACCTAGTTCAATATTATACAACCTCATGAAGTAGTATTATCTCTATTTTAAAGATCAGAAAATACAGGCAAAAAAGAAGTTAAAACCAAAAGACAGAGCTCAGATTTTGTAGTAATTCTTTCCCCCAACTTCCCCA